CTCTGGTTCAATATTATTCTCTATTTGATTATTTAAATCATTTTGATAACCATTTGTGTCATTATTTGGAGCAATAGGAACAGAAAAAATCTTGTCAAAAGAAAATTCTTGACTACCTGATTTTGCTTGAAACGGTTTTGGTCCAAGTCGAGGCTAAAAAAATTAAAAAAAAAATTAAGTTTTTTTCTTTTTTAAATGAAAATTTCATGATAAATTATTTATGATGATATTATAATTGTAATGAGAAAAATGAAATGAAGAAGAATATTATCAAGCATACAGAAGTAGAACATTTTTTTTAAAATAAAATTCTGTTCATAACGCTATTATTTTTTCTTATACCAGATTACAACCTTATATCCTCCAATTGCATTAGGATTCACGGATGTAACTACTGAGCCCATATTTGGTGATGTTCGAGGACGTGCGACTGGCTTCGGTTCATCTTCGGAAATACTATTAGTTCTTGATGACCTTGGTAAAGGTTTTGGTGGAATCATCTGACCTCCATTCTGCACTTTATTTTTGTCGTCTTCAATTTCTATTTTCTTTGGATCTTCTAATTTTTCAATATCATCCTCAGATAGTGATTCTTTATCATTCCCTTCTTGTGTCTTTGTATAAACTTTTGATGCAGCAATAGTTATGGATTTTAATTGTTTCTGCTCTATTTTTATTTCTCGTTCATTTTCTTTGAGTGTTGCTAAGTTTCCTTTATGTACCTAAGAGTATGGTAAATTTCTTAATGGTACAAATGTTTTTATTAACAAATTCCACTTTCAAAACTTTTATTTTACATTAATGCTATAAAATTTCTACAAACATTGCAGATGTACATTATCTGTACATTGCAATTGTAGAAAATACATAAAAAACAACAAAGACACAATATTTTTATAATTTCTTTTTATATCAAAGTTTCTACTTTCTTTTTACATCTATGCATAACAAAAAGATTCAAAAATTCAAATATGTACAAAAAGAAAGAATATATTGAAGCATTTGCTTAAAAACACAAGAGCTATGTTACGCGCATACTTAAGATTACTTACGCTGATATAATAAGCTACAGAACATCAATTGCCATTTAAATTACACGTGCCAGGAATAACACTTTGAATGGTGCTAATGTATAAACTATAAAACATACATTGGATATCTGAAACGTGAAAAAATATACACAGAGCATGAGGAAATGAAATTAAATAATGCAAAATGAAACGTACATTATCAGCCAAAAGAAAATGCATAAAGAAGTTTCTAAATATAAATAATAAAAATATTTAAATTATGTTCTACTTCTATATTACTTTCTTATGTACTTATGTATATAAATATACAATTAGCAAAGTATCAGAAAACAATAATTTATAAATTTGAATTGAATAATTTACAAATTTGAATATATTTATCAAGTTTGCATTAATAAATTATATATTATATATCTGATACATTGCTACTATTTGTTTAATATTAATCTATAATAATTTATCTATAATAAAAGTTAAACATAAATAATACATCGCATAGCACATTAAAAAGTAGAAAGAAAGATGTCTTTAAAAACTTATTTCAAACTGGCAAACAGAATAGCAAAAAGGATAATAAAATGAAATGATGATGATAAGCGTGCAATTTAATAACATCACATCATAAAAAATTATAACTTTTGATAAAATTAATCAATATTTTTCTATATTTATTAAAAAAAATTCTACTATATTTTATACATTTTAAGTTTTTTACATTTTTTAAAAGTGCTAAAAAAAAATATAGAAGTATTTACTTACAATAATGGATTCCTCCCCCTTATTTCTCTTAGCAGGATCTAAAGATATTTTAGGAACAGACATATTATGTCCTTTAATCCAGGCTGCTGCATTATTTTGTGCAACACATCCTATTGTATCTGGATAAATGTCAGCATGAAAATCTCTGTATGTCTAAAATTAAAATTTTGAAATTTAATTAAAAATTTTGATAATCAATAATTTTAATCAATAATTTTTAATTTTAAGAAATACATATAGTATTAATTACATTTTTAAAATATACTTACTTTTCGTGGAACTTGATACATAATAGGTATCACCATAGTGGAAGTGAGTTGTAATAATCTATTAACTTCAGCTTGCATCACAGTTAGTGCTCGTTTTGGCACTAAACATACTCCTTTTGTTTGTTCTCCACTGTGACGAATACCTTCAACTAAAAATGGATCTTTGTCCATAACTTCCATGTACATAATAGTAGTATCTCCTTTTCCAGCCAAAAAAAGCATATTTGTATCAGGATCAAAAAGAGGCATTAGAATACTGTGAAATATAATTTATATTATATTTTTATATTATATACATATATTATAGAATGATATAATTATTAAAAAAAAAGTCATTAAGACATTCTTAAAATAATAAAATAATTTCAGAAAATAAAGTATTAATCAATTCTTACCCTGTACTACAATCCAATTCTAAGGTTTTTACAGGTTCATTTAAATGCCTCAAGTCTCTTATATAAATCTGTCTTAATCTTGCTGCATCAAATCCTGTAGTGAGTATTCTATCACTGTTATTCAACCAAACACATCTAGAATCTTTGATACTTTGATGACTGGAACAGCAATTGACAATGCAAGTAGAAGCACGAGGATCTATGATTCTCACTTGTTTATCTTTGCAAGATGTAGCTAAGAGTATACCATCTTGCTTCCAACTTAAAGATTGAATAACATCTGTATGTTCATTATTAGCTGTAACATAATAAAGTAATATTATATAAATTAAAAATTATTAGAAAATGTTTTATCTAGCACTCAAATATGATATTTTTTATTTACAAAATAATTCTTGTTGTGAAATCACATCCCATAGAGATAAATTTGTATATGATACTGTTGTAAGAAGATGTTCAGCTGAAGGATGCCAACATACTACTTCCACTCTTCTTTGACGATGAGAGAATGTACATTCAGGATTACACAAAGGTTCCTCTAAGCCAGCTTCTGGAATGTGCCATAGCTTAACCTATAATAAGAAAATTATAGTAATTTATAATTTAATTAATTATACAATATAAATAACATAATTATGCAAATATTTATAATTGATAAATATTTTTATCATAAAATATTATGACTTACAAGACAATCCTGAGAACCAGTAGCTAATAAACCATCATGAAATGGAGAAAAATCCATATCGGTTACTGTATCTGCATGAGCATGAAGTAAAGGCATAGTTTTGCTTTTTCTTCCATAATCTTCCAATGGTAATACAGCAAGATTAGATCCTAATTTAAAAGAAGAAAGCAAAAAGAATGTAATATAAAAATTTAAAAGATATGATATATATTTTATATAAAGATATAAATATACCATTATGATCTACATTAAATGCCATAAATGCAGCGGATGCTGTAATATTATTGCCATAAGTTTGATAGGAACCAACTGAAATGTCCCTAATGCAAGCTTCTGGTTTAGGAACAATAGGAGCTGCATTTTTATATTTAGATGCTTTAAAACGCCAAGCCATTTTGACGTTTTCAATTATAGCTTTCAGATCAATTAGTGCTTAAATCATGTAATCTGATAAAAATAATAACACAAATTATTCATTTTAGAATTTTTTAATTTATGCACTATTCAAAAAAAAAAATTTTTTTAAAATAGAAAATAAAATATTTTTATTAAAATATAAAAATTTCAAATTTTTTAATTATATTTCAGAGATTAAATAAGTTATTATTGCTTTTAGGTACATAGAAAAAACATTAATGAAGGGTTTCAAGTTAGTATAAAACTGTGCATGACTAATAATTTGGGGGTGAGAATCACCCCACCCTTGTCTGTTGCAACTTCGCAAGTAATAACAATAACAGTCAATATAATTTCTAAAATAAAAAGAAGTAAAATCGATCGATGTATTCTACTTACAAGCCTCTATTCGGCGTGGCTTTGCACGCTTTTCACAAAATATTAGTAAAGAATTAAATTCAGCAAAAAATCAGCTATTATAAACACGACGATGGCAGATAGGCGTCTCTGATTTCTACCAGTCTACGGCTGACAGGCGGAAACAGGAAAATCCCCCTCCAACAGACTTCTTCTATCTCTGTCAATCACAAGCAAATTATATAATGTGTACCAAAAAAATATTTAACAAAAAAATATTTAAGAATATTTAAACAAAATATAAAAAGTCTCGAATTATAATAAAAACTTATATTAATAGAAACATAATTATAATGCTATTATATATTATTTATAATGCTTTTTAATATTTAGAATATTAATACTTAAAATATTCTAAAATGTGCGATTTTAAAGAAATAATTATAATAATAATTGCAATAATTTATTAAATAATAATAGTAATAATAATATATAATAATGTATAGTAATAAATAATTAAAAGTATATAATATATTTTGAATTCAATATAAGTGCATAGTAAAATATATATAAAAAAAATAATTTAAATGCCTATTATATAAAATTAATTTTATATTAATAATTATTGAAATTAAATTAAAAAAAAATAAATAAATTCATTTACCAAATTAAAATTTTTGCAATTTTATATTCTATTAAATTGTTTATAAGACACACATTCATAGAATATTTTTATTATTGAACACACATACATTCGTATTTATAAGCTACCATGTATATGTGCAGTTACGTTCCGAAATCAACTGCAAGTACAGGCCCAATATCGGTCGTTATTCCAGCGATAATAATATGTGAAAAAAGTTAATAATTTTAACACTGATGAAATTAATAATGTTAAAAAATTTATGTATTCTTTAAATTACTTAGTTTTTCATATACTTATACCTTATATTTAATGTTTTTGTGTTTGAATTTTTATAATAGTTATTTATGAATCATGAAAAAAGATATCAATTTGCACAAACATAAAAGAAAAGATTATTTCTATTTAAATTTTAAATTTACATTTAAATAAAGTTTTCATTTATTTTTTTTTCATTTTATATTATTCTCTTAATAAAGCCAATTGCAATAATGGAACAACCTTTAAAGAAGATAAGTCTGCCAAGACAGCCTGAAAATAAAAAATTAATAACAGAATTTCTTATAAATAATTAACGAAATAATTATTTTACCTCTACACTTTGTTGATTATTAACTTGCATCAAATTTTCCTTTCGGAAACTCAATATAGTGACTGCAAGTAAAGGGATAATTTCTAATGAATCGTATCCTAAAATTAGATCCCAAAGGCAAAGCAATTGTTCTGGTGGCAAATGGCCACTGAAACCTCTCATGATCCACTTAAAAACAATTCTAATCCTATAAAATATTTTATTCAAAGCATTAATTATTTCTGATAATGATATAAATATAAAATATAAATTAAACTTACGGTTGTATATGAATGTTTCTAAAGTGAATCCAAAGCAAAGGTTCGTGACACTGTAGTAATCTCTCAAAGAGCAAACACAATGCTACAATACCTTGTTCGTGACTAGAAACAGTGTGCAATCGAAACCAATACCGCAAATAAAAAGCTCGAAAGGTATAATACATTGCACACGGATCGTCATATAAGTAACAAAACGGTGTAGCTAATATTAAAATTAATATTAAATTATATATATTTTAATAATAAATCAATTAATTTTGTTTAAATATCTATCAATTTTCACAAATTTTTTTATATTAATTTTAAATTAATTTTTGTACCATACATCGTAAAGCCATGAAATGGAATCACACCACTTGGTGGAAAAACTAGAGTATTTTCCAAAGTGGCTGGCTTTCCTTGTAAAACAGCATGTATTACTTGACCTCCAGCACTTCTATCAGTTGTAACAGGTGCTAATACTTCCGAATCACGAGAAAAACATAACATTGTTTTATATAAAACGTCTTCAAATACAAAATATTGATCATCATTTCTGGCTGTTAGCTGCACATCCTGAAATAAAAATATAAAAAACAAATCATAAAAATAATCAAAAAAAAATTTAAGAAAGATTCTTAATAAAAAAAAAAAATAAAAATGATAAAAGAAATCTGTTACCTTTATTATTAGTTTATCTATAACAATATCATATTGTAATACCATATTTTTTAATTCTTCATAATATTCTAAGTCCTAAAAAAATATTCAAATTTTAATTCTTTCTATTTTTTTTTTTTTTTCGTATAATAGAATATTGGAATTTTTACATTCTGTTTTACTGCGGATCCCAACACAAGAGACCACAGACGACCACGAAGAGCTCGAGGTGCTCCGCGTTTCAAAAATTCTTGTGCAATTGGAGCATGATTCGATTTCAATATTTTCTCACCGATATAAATTCTCTCTTCTTCTAGATTTGCAAAATTTTCTGAACTGGGCATATCGGGATTCACTCCTAATAATGGCATACCTTTTGCCAATTCCACATACAAACATCTCTATTCAAAAAATAATAATGATAATAATTTATTATTAATTTATGTAATAATGTGTTTAAATATTTATATATATTAGTTTAAATATATTTATTTTTTATTTAAAAAAAGTATAATAAAGAAAAATACCAGTTGCATGAGTGTTTTTACGCGAATTTCTATGTGGCTGAATTCCCAATTCAATTCATCTCTGAAAGATCGTTATTTTTATTAAAATGGAAAAAACTTATGAAATATTTATTAAGAAATAATAAATATGTACGGCTGTTTTTTAAAGAAAGGATTTCGAATAGAAAATAGCACATCCAGGAAGTCTTTTGGGGCGTAAAGAGGTCTATATTGTGACAAATCTAAATATTAAATTGAACAAAATTTAAATTTATTATAATTGCTTTTTTTTACATTTTTATTAGAATTTTTATTTAATAAATCAATATTAAGATCACCGATATCATAAGTGCTTAATTCATTCCATTTTTCAGCAAGTTCTTCGCGATCTGCGTTTGGTCTTATGCGTGCCAATGGCACATTTAATTCATTACATGTTGAATTTAAAGATTTTTGTATTCTACGCTCCCATTGAATTTGAGCCTTTTTTAAATAAGTTAAATCCACTTCGTTCGTGGTTGATTCTGATGCAGCAGATAAAGAACCCTTACAAAATATTTAATTAAAGATTCTCATTAAAACAAACATTTTTAATAAAAATGATATATACTTGCGATCTGACCCAATGAAATACCGTATTTCTAATTTCTGTTTCTAAACCATTACTTTTTAATGCGTCCAATAACGTATTTTTAAAATCTTCTCTTTTTACTGCAGTAGAAGCAACGAGTTTCTAAAAAACAAAAGTAATAATTATTAGTTGTGTTTTTGATTTTTCGAATATTTTATATTTCCGGTTTTCGTATTAAAAACAGATTCGAATTGTAATTGCTTTTTTGAATCAAAGTATAATTAAAATTTCTTTCTTACATGATAAATAAATATTTTTCTAAAATGAATATAAAATTTTTTATTTTTAAAAATTTCTGTATGATTAAATACTTTGTGCGTACCTGAATTTCAGTATAAAGACTTTTATAATTAGCCATACTTTGTATTTCTTCTGTTAATTTTTCTGCAGATTTTTTTAATGATGTTTTTTTGGATTCTTCAATATAATTGGATTCTTCTATATTGTCAGTCATTTTTATATTTTTCGAAAATTTCTATTTGGTCTGAATTGTTTTATAATAAATCCGAAAAGTGGTCGCCATTTGTAAATAAATTCATTTCCGCAGTCACAGTGATGAATACAGGGGTGAGTTGCGTTTACATTTGCGCAATCGAATATTCAAAATTAAAAATTGTTATTATATTCTTGATTTATATGTTATAAAATTTTCAATATTTTGTGTATATTATAAAAATTTCTTTTTTAAATTATAGGAAGAAATATTTCTAAAAGTGATACATTTATTGAAATCTTTTAATAAAAATGATCATTAAAAGTAACATAAGTTTCTTTATCTCTACAACGATTTGGAGTCGCTCAAATAGGGTATTATCTTTGAAATACGTACATTTTTTTGAATGTTCGAACGTCCCGTGCCAAAATTTTAGGCCGGTGCGCTTGCAGGAAAATGGCGGCGCGATAACCTGTGTTTTGAAACGTAACGTTAGACGTGATCGTGATTGGAAACACGTCAAGAATGGATATTTCAAGTATGCTTGAAGTACAAGTGAATGAAGTGAAGGAAGTAGACAGTAAAGAAAATGGTGAGATTGTGGAGTTTTAAAGGACGAGTTTGTACGAGATATCGTGAAATATAATGTGTCTAACCTACTTCATATTGCAGTAACTCCCAGAGAACTACTTCCAAGTACGACAAATGTACCAGTATCTATTTCTCAAGAGGAGTGTAGCTATTATAAACTTATGTTTGGCAATGGTAAGTTCATAAAATTTACATATACTCAATTTATATTGTCTGTTAATTTGCTATTTCAACAAATTTGTCTATAATATCATTTGGTACAGCATGGCACTTGTCATATTTTTATTGTATATAAAAAACATTGCAATTTTAAAATAATAAAAAAAAGATAGCAAAAGTTATATTCTAGAGTATTAACAATAATTTTTTATTTTATGAAATTTTTAATAAAAAATTTCAATATTAATCTAATGATCATATAATTTTTTGTTTATTTTTTATATTGTTTCTAATGCAAAAATATTTCATCACAGATTAAAATTTAAATTTTAAAAAAATATAAATATTAAATTTTTAAGTTAAAAAAATAAATTTTTTAAAAAATTAAAAAAAAATGAAAATATATAATTTTAAATTTATATAATTCAGAGATCTCAGCAGTACGGTTTCAAAGATTACATTGCACAGCATGCGATGCACATATTGGATCTGCACCAGCAGATTCTCATAATATGTTTGAACATCCTGTACTACATACATTGCTCTGTGCAAAATGCAGAGATTTCTATGGAGATGGCACCTTTGAACAAGGTACATATTATTATTGATACTTGCAAAAATTAATTCAAATTTTATATTTTTTTAATTGTATTTTATAGGTGATGATGCAACAGATATGTTTTGTAGATGGTGTGCAAATGGTGGCAATTTATATTGCTGCTCTTTTTGTAGTAACACATTTTGTTATAAATGTATTAAAAGGAATTTTGATCCTATATTGAGAAAAAAGATTGAAGCAGATGAAAAATGGAAATGTTTCGTCTGTGATCCCAGAGATTTATATAATTTAAGAGGAACTTGTTGGGCTTTGCTACAACATATTCAGACAATGAATAGGTAAACAAGATCAAAAATTAAAATAAAAAGGTATTTAAGATTAAATATAATTATATATATCATATATATTTAAATTTTTTCAGATTATTTCAAAATAATTGTAATATGTCTCAAGAGGAAATAGATGAAAAAATAAATACTGATGAATCAAAATGTTGTCCACGTAGAAGAAAACGAAAGCGTCGACGAAATGGTTCAAATTCAGAAGAAGATGATGAAACTTATACACCCAAACAAATAGTATCAAATGTTCTTTCTAAACGTAAAAAAAGAGGTCGAAAAGTAAGGTTTTCTGATGGAAACAATGCATCTTTATCTAATAATTATCATAGCGGAATATCAGATGATACAACTATGGATCATAATGAAATATTACCATCTTTACTTTCATGCGAGCAAACAATGGTTGAATGTGAAAATGTGACTGTTAATGGAGACGGTATGGTTATAGCGCAACCTCGAGTATATCCTGGTCGAGTAAATTCTACAATTGCGCGGCAATCAACAATGTGTAGCACATCTGTCGTAAGCGTTGTTACAAATCCAAAATTTGTACAACTTGCAACTCCTATTGTACCTCTTCGTCATACTTCTAATTCACTAAATCAAATGAATCAAATGAATTTATATCAGACATTACATTCTGCGCCAACTCCAATGGTTACCATACCTAATCAGAATATTAATATATTAAATCGATCACGGTTCCCTTTACCCGAGTCGCATACGTCATGTATAACTACAAATTCAAATATTATAGAGATTGAAAGTGATTCAGAAGATATAGCAGTTGTTGGTCCATCACAAGTTCCACGTTCTTCTAAGAATTTTACTACTAATAATAAAGCAGTACCTGTTGCTCTTGTAAGTTCAAAAAATAATTATAATAATGTAAAGAGACAAGAAGTACAAGAGCGGCGCAACGTAAAAACATTAAACCAAAGGTTATTTCCTCATGGTAAAGAGATCAATAATATTTTAGTTAATCTAAAAACGAAATTCCAAGGTTTATTTGAGACATCTCAACGAGAGGAATTTAAAAAGTATGAATTAAATGATGCTCGTCTTTTAATTAAACAATTTCATTGCGATATACGTGATACTATAACTCAATTAGCATATATTAATGACAGAATAATACGAGAATATAATAGATGGAAAAGATATCAAACAAAAATAGGAATTATTCATTGTTCGGATGAAAATAATACTCGTAAGAAAGTTAATTGTGAAGAAATACCTCTTGATATGATTTGTACAAATGAATCTGATTCGGACACTAATATTGATAACGAAATAGAATATAGCATTATGGATCCATCTGATCTGATTGGTACTACAAACGTGGTCGATGGAATAAATTTTTTCAAAAAGAGAAACACTATAGATCGAGCTGTAGGGAACCATTCTGCTCTCTTAGCAGATAAATCGGTGCAAATAAATACTATGGAATTACAAGATTATGATCGATGCATAAGCTATTTTGCATTGAAAAAAGTGACTCAACAATCAGAGAAAAGAAATATTTCTATATCATCTGTTAAACAAATTAATAAGTCATTTGGAAATTATGAAGACCATTTTATTCAATTCTTACAAAAGCAAAATATAAAATCTCGAATTATACAAACTGAAAACTTTAAAGAGTTACCTGATCCAAATGAAACATCGTTAAAGGATTTAATAGAAGCTAATTCGCCATTTATTTCTGAAATGTTAGGAACTATGGATAAATCGAATGTTTCAAGTAACAGTAATTCAAATATTTCTGTTAAGAAGGAAAGCGATCTAAAATCCTATGAGTCGCGACGGGGAAATTCAATTACCTGCAAAGCTGTTGATGATCTTGTGAAAATGGTTAGTAACATAAACGATGATTTAGATAAAAAGACTGCCGCGAATGAATTTATTGATGATTTAAAAAATCAAAGTGAAACTCAAAAAAAACATTTCTCTATTGCTGATAATCTTGGTGTATTAAATACGTCAAATAATAATGAACAGAATTCCAATAAATCTATTGCCATAGGATCTGAAAGCAGCAATGAAGATGACTGTACTATTATTGACGATTAATTAAATAATAGTTATTCAATATCTTTCGTGAGTTTTATTAGTACTTTAATCATTTATCTACTTATTATTTTTTATTAATCAGTTGTATGAATATTGCATGATAAGTATTGAAATCAATGAAAAATTACATGATAAATAAATTCAATGATAAATTAAATTTAGCATGACAAAAAACAATTCATTGTTATATATTTCTATTTTATATTTTATAATTTTCTTTAATCTTTTAATCTTTTCTAATAAGTCTTCAACTATTATAGATTTATTTCATTTCTTCAAAATATTCATTAAAATATCTGAAATTTATTGGCAATTTTCGTATTTTGATCATATTAAAAAATTTCTAATTGAGATATTTAGATTTAAGATATTTAAACGTAGATTTTCTACGAAAATTTAAGAACTTTTGTTAATTTATTAAATATTGTATGTTGCATAAGTAATACTGATTAATAGAATAAAAATATTAATAAAAATGCTTAAATAAGTAGAAAGTTGTCATAGTTTGTTTTGTACAGATAGTATGTAATGAATAATGTAAAAATTTTAGTTTCTTTTAAATAATTTTTAAATTATTTTTATATATATTGATAATTTTTTCTATAAATTAAGAAATTTCTTTACTTATTTTTATAATAATAGTAAAGTTCGAAAATTTTTTCAAATTTTTTGATCAAATTTTTGCTATATTTATATGAGCATTTCTATCTTATATAAAGATATTTCATATAAATATATTTAATAGCTATATTTATTTAAATAACATATGATTTGTTTGAAACGAACATGCAAAAAATGGTAAAAAAAGGCCATAAAATTGTTGATAGTATTTTATATGTCTTAATATATTTGATCTGGGATGTTATTAAAATGGTCACTTAATCTATAATAAATAATAAATTTATCTATTAAGTAAAGCTAAATCTAAAGAATACTTTTTTACAAAATATTTAAAATAATAGTTATCTTTTTTTTTATAGATTTTATAGCATTTTGTTTTATTTATTTTTCATTAAAAAAAAAAATTTAAAAGATAGAAGTAACTTCTGAAATAAATAATATAGGTGCTGATTTTAGTTTCTTTAATTAATTTTAATCATATTTTGAATTTCAAAGTTCAAGTTTTGCTTAATTTTATTTATTTTTTTCATATATACATATATCGATTCCGAAAATCAATATATTACTTTTTTATCTTTAAATTAACTATATCCTATGTATTATATCCTATGTATACAGATAAATATTTGTCTCTAGATACATACAACAAGTCCATAAAAATTTTTCTTTGCAAACATTTTATGAATATTTATATACGCAGTCAAATATATAAAGGAAACGCAACAAAGTTATGAAATTTGTAACGTTTCGCAATATTAAAATGTCGTCTGTGTATTTATAAAGGATACAAAGATTAAAAAGATGAAAGTATTTTAAATGTTATATTTAAAATAATAATTTTGATAATTATTCATTGATATTTTAAATCAAAATTATTAAATAAGTAATTTTTTAATTACATTTTTTAAAATGAAAATAAAATTAAAATATGATTTTTAAATATGAAAACAATTTTATTTTTTCCTGTTAAAAAAATCAAATTTACGTTTATATATATATATAAGTTACTTTTGTTTATATATATATATATAAACAAAAATATATATATTATATATATATATATATATATATATGTATTTATAAGTGAAAGTAACTAAAAAGAGAAATAATAAAAAAATGCTTTTAGAATTTGAATACTTCTATTTTCTTTCATAATCTCATTTCGATAATAAAGAGCAAAGTAAAACTTCGTTTCAATATTTCAATTTGAAATACACTTGAGCAAATTAATTCTTAGAAATTGCTTGTATAAAAGGAAATCAAAAATAGTATCAAAGAGTTATAATTTTGTCTCAAGAATTTAAATATGAAGAAATTTTAAAGGCTGCGCAGTGAAAAGCGCATTTTTTATACGCATGTTATATAACAATGACAATTTTTTGTTTTAATTGCAATAATCTAATTACTAGCACCATAATATTTAAAATGTCGTTAAGTGTTCTTCTTTTTTCTTTCCTTAATTTTTCAATAGCGAAATTGACCTTTTCTGCCCATACCGTTGTGATAAACTCTGAGCGGTGTATAATTTCCATTTCCGTTCATCGCTACATATAAAAAAAACAAGAGAAGAAAAAGATATAATAAAATTTATATTGAAATTTACAAAGTAACAAAATAAATCATTAAACATTCGAAATAATGTATATATATATAATGTAACAATACTATAAAATAAATAAATTATTAAAGATTCACTCACTTAATTCATATTCCTTAATAGCAGCTTGCATAATAAAACACATTAATTAAAATAGTTTATAAATACAAATCATCAAATATATTTACCTTGTACAATAGTAGGAGGTTGTCGTGCTCCTTGTATGATATGTGCATGACATCGTGGTTTCAATATACCATGGTACAAAATAAAATATAAACCAGCAACGGCTGCGGCAGCAACGGCCATACAACGATAAACAAATCTCAATGAATCGATGATATCAGAGCTATTGATATTGATATAAGCACCAATTACGGCTCCGATGCATCGACCTGAATCAAATTAAAAGAATTAAAAGTAATATTACAAAAATAAATAAATTTAATTCAAATTTATCGAATATATATATTCAATATGAATACATGCCAATGCAGAAATGTGCAATCACAGGTAGTGCTTGAGCAGTTACTGTTAAATGACGTGGTACGAGATGTCTCAGATAAAGAATGGCAGTAATCCACATAATTCCTAACGTAAAGACTTCGAGGCCTTCCGAAATCAAAGACCACCAAGGTTCTGCTATGAGGCTTAAACCAGTAAACCTAAAAATTTCAATTTTAAAAAATATATAAATTAAAAAATATTTCAATATATCATAACATAATATAAATTAGTAACATTATACAAAAACTTACCTACCTAATAATATACACGGTAAAGGCAGTGATAAGAAGATTACTGTGACCACAGTAATCAACTAGATGTTCAGACTTCCAAAGGAATAAAAATGCTGGAATTGCTCCAATCGTCATAGCTACACCAATGGGAAGTTCATCACCTCCCAACTTCTGTAAATGTCTAAATATAAAAATATTAATTTTTATTGTATAAATATATTTTCTTATTATAGCTTAAAACAACAATACTTAACTGATCTTAAAATTAATTCCATCACTAATTCAATAATTTCAGATCAATTTTATTGTTCTCATAATAGTGTAAAATAAATAATTAAATAAATAATTAATAAAAAATCTTACAAAGGCAAATAACTATCCATGGCGCTCCAGAAAGTTCCCATAACGATGAGTACAATTACAAGAGCGGCAGTTTCACTGCCATATCTTTTGATAGCGCTCATGGGAAGTGCCAGCATGCCGCTTCTGGTATGCCACCACCATTCTGGTGGACTGAGTGGCATGCCGTTGGCACAAAAAGCTACAAGAGCTGCCAAAAGCATCATTACAGCATGTATACCAATTGGTAGATAGTAGAAAGAATTCAAGTTTTCCATAAGTGTGCATAAATAACCAGTTAAGGGACCAAAAATGGCAAATCCAAGAGAACCGAAAGCTAATTGACGTCCCACATCTCCACGTCCACAGGATGTTTCTCTAGTAACTATAACAACTGCTGCATCAATTAAAGCTACAGCTGTCGTTGGAAAAATATCAGCGACTGATCGAATGGTTAAGTATGTCCAGAAAACTAAATAAGACCAATCTTCTGTCTGTTGACATTGACTTTCTATGAGGATGCTATCTAAATCCAAAATTGTTGTATTAAAAAATTGTTGTATCACGATGATACTGATATTAACATCATATTAAAAAATAATATTACCTGGAAGAGTATATGGATCAACTAAATCACATTCAATAGTACAACTCTGAAAAATTTCTGCCATTCTGGTTTCCAATTCTAGAGGTATACGACAAGCAAAATATTCAGCCAAGGGATATACACACCAATCTTGATCACTTTTGTTGTTTAAGGCTTGTCTCAAAGTAGCATTTATGGCCAAATTGCCTGAATACTTAGTATAAACGTGACAAACAATATTGTCACCTTCTTTAAAACATAAATGAGGTGGTTCATTATGAGGCATGGCAAATCTTCGTATTTTTTTGATTTCCTCTTGTTCCTATAATATATTTCATGAATTTTAATCATTTTTGTTACATACTGACAATTATTATCTAAATTATTATCTAAATATTTACCTGGGAATATATTTCACTTTCAAGAGGAATCACTGTTGTTTCGCCACTGCCATCTAGAACAATTATATCAGAATCGGTTGTTCCAAAAGTAGTGAATCCATCATTATTGTCAGAATGCCATCGTTTTAATCCTGTAGGGTAACAAGCATAATCGCAACTTTCTAAAAGCAATGAACCAATTCTGCTTTCGTCAGACCATCTATGGCAAGAAATATGATTTTTACATTTTTCTTGCAATACCACTGCCCCTGTTTGATCACAATTAAACTTTAGGCCTGGTCTTCTTTCTCTTGGGAGCTCAATACGGTCAACCGTTGGAATCAATAAGAGAAAAGCATAAAAAATGGCAGATAAAATGCAAGCTATAGCGATCATCAATCTTAGGTAACGACCAGTCGATTTATCATTTCTTCCCTGATGATCTGCTAATTTATCTGCAATAGGAGCGGCAATCAGAGGTCCCAGGATTGCGATTGCTGGCGAAATTATTGAGATCATACGGATTTGGTCGATACTCAATCCCATTTCCGTCATATGTAAAGGAAGAAAGGGGAAGAGACATCCCATTCCTGATAAAATAATTATGATGATGACATATTTTACAATTTATTTATTTTTAAAACAAAATATTTTTGATAAATTCAATATTCGTAATACATATTTATTAATTACTTATTCGTTATTCGTTTTAAATATACCTCCAAAAAAGAGGAATAATAGAAGTTTTAATGAAAGAA